CTCTTTGTTTAGTAACATAATCACATGCTGAGTGAAAGTGAACTCGTGGTTAATAAATCTAGCCGAAAGCAGTTAGTACTTTTACAGGACTATCTGCGGGTAATAAGTACAGCGGCTTACTGTCTGCTTAATTACTTTCGAATTTTACTGCACCTTGCCCTCGTGGGCACGTAACTTTAGCCAATGGCTATCTATATATACCAAGCAAAAGCTAACAAATTCTCCCACAGAGTACACTACTACATCTAGTGGGTCCTCTATGCAACACGAATGTTTAATTAAAGTTACAGTAATGTCACTCTATCAGTCAGTAAGGGCTGCCCTGGGGCTATCACGGCTAATAACAAATCTCTTGCCGGCTTGATGCATTGTTTACTTCCACATGGTTATTAACCAAAGAGGGAGCAACAAGATTCCTACTGAAGACACTTTGGCGAGGGTTGCCTCACTCTTTGGTTTTCCCGGTTTGCTGGGGCTGGTGGGGGTTGCCTCACTCTTTCGTTTGTTGTAAGATTCACGTGGAGAGATTTTATCGGCGATCACGTTCCCTTTCTTGTCGCCGGTCAGGTAAGCACCCTGCATGTAGCCGCACCAGTCTTCGCTCGTCGCTTCGCCAGCAAAGTACAGTCGTCCTAAGTTTTTTCCAATATTCTCCCAGTCCTTTGAAGTCATACCTACCACTGGTTCTGAATATGCGCCTTGCGTCAGCGGCTCCTTTGACCAGCGGCGATAATAAATATCTGAAGAAAATATTGAATAATCATGTCAAAGAGAGTACTTGCATCATGATGTGGGAGACCTGCAGACTCTGATGGTGAAGATCTTGGTGCAGTGAATAAAACTAGCTGGAGCCAGTCCTTTTTGGCGTTGCGATTGGTTTGCCTTTTGTTACTTGTTTTGAGTCTGGTTGAATCAAGGTTTTAAAGGCCACAATTTTGTGTCTTAATTGTATTGCTTTCTGTAGGGATAATTACCGGCAAATGAAGAGATAAACATTTATCGAAACTATCGCCAATTTATCTCTCCATCTGTCGATATTTCTTTTGACTACGTTCAGAAGAACGATATGATATGTTGATTTGTGGTTAAAAGGAACCCTGCAAAGCTGAATTATTGCCCTTCACCTGTCGCTTCAGGGATGTCATTCCCGTAGATCTTTCTCAACATTCCCATGATCTCTGCCTTTGTTTCATTAAATAATTGTCCCTCAATCCTTCGTCCTTCAGACCCTGTTACGGTGATCAGTAACATTCCACTCGAAATGGGAAAGATCCCGGGTCTTGACAGATCCTGCCACACAGGGAAACGTCCGCGTTCTTTGGAAGCGTACAGAATATATTCGTGATCATCCCAGAACTTTTTTGGAAATTTTAGAAAAATTTTTGTGTAAGGCGACATCGGATTTTTATGAATGGCCTCTTTTTTCCAATCAGGAAGGGCTGGCTCGAAAGTAACCAAGTCGCTGGCCAGAACTCCGGAGCTAAATGTACAAAGGGCATAATCTGCCTGGTAACTCCATCCATCGGAGGTTTGTACTTCAACGGAATCGGCATTATGCTTGATTTTTGTGACTAATTTGCCCAGCAAAGTCTTCGCTTCCAATGGCTTGTAAAGATCTTCGTACATGGACCATATTCCTCGCCCATCAGAGATGAAAAAGTCTTCTCCGCGCTCCAACATGTTGTAAAAGGAAACCACTTCTGGAGGCCTCGCGAACTCGAAATCGATGTTGAAATATTCAATAACGCTTTTTATGGGTTGTTCAGCTGACCATCCCATCCTCTGCATACCAACACGAGCGGAGAAGTCTGGCTGGCCCTTCCATTTTACTTTGTAGTCTTCAATTTTGTGCTCAATTTTGTCATAAAACTCACGCAGAACTGCAAAATCAGTGATATCGTTTCCTGCTTCGTCCCTAAAAAAAATAAAAACAGTAACAGATTTGCAGGAAAAAAAAACCTTTGAACATTTTGTTGGCGTGCCTTGGATGGATACTCATCTCAAAATGGACACTTTAATTCAGTTTCCCCTAAATAAAAAATAAACCTTTGATTAAGGATGAGGAGAAGAGGTGTTCTGTACGGAAACCCGAGACAAAATGAGTTAGTCGTCATCCGAATGCTATATTTTGCTAACATGTTACGGGTTAACAAGACTTTATTTGTGTCAACCGATGATTTTCAACTTGCACCCAGTTTATCAAAGGGTGAAAAACGATTTCAAGCGGATAGGTTTTAACGAAACGTGCTACATAATCCATCGGTATTAACCGGTTCGCGTGGATAGCGTCATCAGCCCTTAGAACAACCGGAATCTCATGTCCGTCCAGCATTCTTATTCCAAGATGACTCGATTTTCTAAGAAAAAAATTACTATTGACAAGAGTAGTCCTGGAAACAAAACTAAGAAAAATCGACTAAAAGATAATTTGATAGTATTATCTATGGAGACTTGACAGGGATGTGGATATGAAGAAGTACGTTGTTTTCAGCTCTTTCAAATTTAAAATGGCTGAAACAAATTAAATAAATGTAATCGCAGTTTGTTCATGTTCACCTGGACGATAGACAGTTGGAAATTGGCCTACTCGCAATTTTTAAAAGCCGAGTTATCAGAGGAAGGGGAAGAGGTGCTCACAGACCTCACAAGAATTTGCATTCCTCTTAATCATAAGCTGTGTTTATAAAAATCAAGCTATGCACGTCTCCACTTATCCCAATTGGCCTTGTAGCGTCTTACCTCACCAATATGTCCGAGTAATTAGAGGTAAGACCTTTCATTTTTTTTGCGTCCCTTCGATCCACGATAGGTTTGGTTTCGTCTTCATTTACGAAATGAATCCAGTTCGCTCCCGTTTCAATCGAGTGGTTTGCAAACTCGATGGCATGTATTCTTCCCCCAGTGTAATTCTTTCCCTCAAGAATCAGAATGTCGGTGATATTTCTGTCCAGTAGTGTTTTCGCCGCTTTAATTCCAGCGAGTCCGGCGCCAAGGATAAGAACTTTAGTTTTGTTTTGTTTTATTGGTGAAGACAAAGATCTGTCCACCAGAAACAGAAAACTCAGATGCAGGATGACCTTAAACATGATGTACATTCTGTTGATCAGCAAAGAAACTAATGATCAGAAAAGGATAACTAGCTTCTGAGCATTATTAAACTAAAGAAACATTCCCTTATCTCAATTCCTGAAAAAAATGTGGCATGTATTTTGTCTGCGTCACGAGGTTGTTTGAGCGTTGTCTATATGGTGCTTAAATTATTCATACAAAGTATGTTAATTATATTCTAGACATTTCTATACAAAAATCTGATACTCTTTCGAAGTTTAAAAGAACTTTTCAGTGACATTTTTTTTCTGACTGTCGGGAATTTAGTTTATTTATGACTGAGCCCGGCAGTTTGATCAGAGGCGTAGTGTCGTCAACTGAGCGGTGTTGTAGCTGTTGTTCGCTTCGCTTCGCTTCGGAAATAAAGTTTGTTTTGAAAATTGAAAGTAATGCTTGGGGAATTTAACGGATTCTTTGTTATAAAACAAACAGAGAAGCCTTGACTGTGCTCTGTTCTGTTGTAAAGCACTTGAGCACTCAAGAAGACTACGTCTCGTGTTTCTCCCTATACTTCTTTCGTGCTCTAGCCGCTTCCTGCGTGCTTCAATAGAAAAGAGCACAGTCAAGGATTCTTTATTTGTTAATTAAAACTTTTTGAAAAGTTCTCTCAAGCGTGATGGGGCGAATGAGTACCGAAACCATAACAAATGCTAATTTTTTTTAACTGTTCTGAATTTCACAAACTTCGATAAAACAGCCAATATCAAACTCCTGAAAAGTGGAAGTAAGGCTGATCTGTAGCTCCATCAGAAACTTCCTCTACATTTTATAGGTTAAAAGCGCATATACCTCAAAATTATTGATCTCTATACGTTCATTTCTGATCCACCAGAGACGCCGACCTTTACTTGAGCTGATCGAGATAATTTTTCTGTCGTAAGCTTAAGAACAAAACAGCATAACAGCACAACCATTCCAAAATCCGTCAGCTTTTGCATATGAATCTTTATAAGTATTTCAATTCTTTCAGGAGACGAGAGATTTAAGTAGGAGTAAAGCACAATTTACTTACTTTACTTTGTCGCGTCACGATCTTTCAAAGTTTCTTCTCTAAGTTTGCGATGTGTTGATGCAGATCCATCTGGAAATTATGCAAATTACGTGAAACACTTGTCGAGGTGAAAATATGAATGGGGGAGGGGGAGGAGGAGGAGGGAGCTGAGCTAAAAAGTGGAAAAAGTATATGCAAAACTTAGCATGTTTAAGGTTTAGGAGAGTGTTATTTTGGTAGGTCCGGCGTGACGGGCAAATTGTCGCGGGCGAAAAATGGCGTTAGTAAAAAAGAGGAAAATCGCGATATAATTCGCATTTTAGCTTCCATTTGGCGCGAAAATATTTAACGAAGTGAAATAGTTTACCGAGAAGAAAACGGCGAGCCTGGAGAGAACTTTTTCTTCGAGTTTGACGTACTCCCCCCGAGTACCCTCTGTTTGACACAATGTGACCACCTCCTCCCCTTCACTTTGAAAAAACCTGGCTAAGCCCTTAGTTTATCACATACTTTTTAATAGGATGGATTTTGTAAAATGAACCTGTGTGATGGAATAGGAAAAGGCGTTTATTATTCTACATTTCTGACAACCTGAATTACACACACATCTCGAATGGTTCTTACCGATGATCTATTGCTGGACAGACGCATAGGTGAAGTTTACATTAACGACATTTTTACTTTTTTATCATAAAAAAAAACAAATAGATTCTGTGATACCGTGGGCCTGTTCAGTAACAGATCACGGATAAGGTCAAATGTGATAAGAGCCTCAATGACACACCCCCCCTGTCCATCGTTTACTACTTTTCTGTTCTTGCCATATGTTGACGTCATGTGGGATTCTTCACTGAACAGAAGTACAGCAACATAGAATCTCTTTGTTTAGTAACATAATCAAAAGCTAAGTGAAAGTGAACTCGTGATTAATACATACAGCCGAGAGCAGTTAGTACTTGCACAGGACTATCTGCAGATAATAAGTACAGGGGCGAACCACAAAAAAGAAGTATTCTCTATTCAAAGCCTTCTTAATTACTTTCGAATTTTACTGCACCTTACCCTCGTGGGCAAGTAAATTTAATCAAAGGCCATCTGTATATACCAGGCGAAAGCTGACAAATTCTCCTACATAGAACGTTCCTACATCTAGAGGGTCCTATATGCAACACAAATGTTTCATCAAAGTTACAGTTTTGCCACTCTATCAGTCTGTAAGGGCTGCTCCAGAGCTATCACGGCTAATAACAAATCTCTTGCCGGCTTGATGAATTGTTTACTTCCACACGATTATAAAGCAAACAGGGAGCAACAATATTCCTACTAACGACACTTTGGCGGGGGTTGCCTCGCTCTTTGGGTTTCCCGGTTTTCTGGAAGATTCACTTGAAGAGATATTCTCAGCGATCATGTTCCCTTTCTTGTCACCGGTCCAGTAAGCACCTTGCATATAGCCGTACCAGTCTTCGCTCGTCGCTTCGCCAGCAAAGTACAGACGTCCCAGGTTTTTTCCAATGTTCTCCCAGTCTTCAGAAGTCATACCCACCACAGGTTCTGAATATGCACCTTGCGTCAGTGGCTCCTTTGACCAACGCCGATAATAGATATCTGAAGAAAATATACAATAGTTATGTCAAAGAGAGTACTTGCATCATGATGTGCGAGACCCGCGGACTCTAATGGTAAATATCTTTGTGCAGTGAATAAGACTAGCCAGAACTTAGTCTTTTTGGGTGGCGTTC